CACACACACACACACACGTGCACACACACACACACACACGTACACACACACACACACACATGTACACACACACACACACACATGTACACACACACACACACACATGTACACACACACACACACACACACTCACACACGTGTACACACACGTGCATGCGTGCGCTCCTGCACTCACAACAGGACAAGTTTGCGCAGCTCTTCTCGTACGCGGCGCAGCGCACCGACAACACAAAGCCTGGCGCCGACTTTGTGGACGACGCGATACGCATTGAGAGGTGGGGGAAGGGGTGAGGCTGGGCGTCGGGGCGCTATGCTGTACATGTGTGCACGCGCTTGCACACCTGCACTCAGTGTGGGCGTGCACACACTTGAACGGCGTGGGGACCTGGGTCTGGTGCGAGGGTGCAGGTAAGCTCGGGGCACCGCCAAGGGGCTCGGCGCCATTGGGACGCCTCCCCTGGCCGCCTGAAGTCGGCACGCCCTCATGCGCACATGGATCCGCGCTGTGCGCGGCACGCCCACTTGGCCCTGCCAGGTATCTTGAGGAATTCAGCGAGAAGCTGCTGGGTGACCAGAAGACGGCCGGCGCCATCAGCGTGCACATCAACAGCAACGAGAACACGGACTCCCAGCGCGCCCAGAACTGGATCGACTTTGACGCGGGGTGGACCGATGATGCGTGGCACCACGTGGCGGTAACCTGGGACTGGGAGGACGGGACGACAAAGGCCTACGTGGATGGCGTGCAGAAGACGGCGTTCTGGAAGAGCAAGTGAGCCCTTGCCTGCCCGCGCGGGCTTTGACGGGCCTTCCGCGCGACCCGCCCGTGCTGCAGGGGCCGCGGGCCGCAGACGGTCTTGCAGCCCGGCTGCATGCGGCACGGGCCTGTTTGCGACTCGCGCTGATGCGGTGTTTTCTGCGGTTCCCAGGGCCGCTCGCTGGCATCCTCTAAGCCGGTCGTTCTCGTCGCTGCATTTTCAAGTATCATCACACTCTGTTCCGCGGGCCGCGTCGCTGCATTGTCCTGCAACCGACCGGCCCCCTCGCCATCCCCTTCGCTCGTAATCCAGCACACCCCCCCTCCGCTCCCCTGCTTGCCCCGAACGGCACGCCGTCTTCCAACCCCTTGGTC